GGGGGACACAGAAAAAAGAGGACAATTGGAAAGTTAAAAGACCAAATGAGTCGGGAAGAATTTGGAAGTATTTCTTCAGTAAGAGTTGTAAGGCAGTGGAATAGAGCCGAGAAAATGACGTAGTGGAGGCAGGAACCATACATAGTTTTAAGACGAGGTTTGATAAAGCTCATGGAGCGGGGAGAGAGAGGGCCCAGTAGCAACCGGTGAAGAGGCGGGGCCAGGAGCTAAGACTCGACCCCTGCAACCACAAATAGGTGAGTACAAATAGGTGAGTACACACACACACACACACACACACACACACACACGCACGCATGTGAATTACATAACGGAAGGGATAGACTCAGAAGTGTCCTTGTTTGCAGATGATGTGAAGTTAATGAGAAGAATCAAATCGGATGAGGATCAGGCAGGACTACAAAGAGACCTGGACAGGCTACAAGCCTGGTCCAGCAACTGGCTCCTTGAGTTTAACCCTGCCAAATGCAAAGTCATGAAGATTGGGGAAAGACAAAGAAGACTGCAGACACAATATAGTCCAGATTGCCAAAGACTGCGAACCTCACTCAAGGAAAAAGATCTGGGGGTGAGTATAACACCGAGCATATCTCCTGAGGCGCACATCAATCAGATAACTGCTGCAGCATACGGGCGTCTGGCAAACCTACGGATAGCGTTACGATACCTCAGTAAGGAATCGTTCAGGACTCTGTATACCATTTACGTCAGGCCCATACTGGAGTATGCAGCACCAGTTTGGAATCCACACCTGGTCAAACACGTCATGAAATTTGAGAAAGTGCAAAGGTTTGCAACAAGATTAGTCCCAGAGCTAAGGGGATTGTCCTACGAAGAAAGGTTGAGGGAAATCGGCCTGACGACACTGGAGGACAGGAGGGTCAGGGGTGACATGATAACGACATATACTGCGTGGAATAGACAAGGTGGACAAAGATGGGATGTTCCAGAGATGGGACACAGAAACAAGAGGTCACAATTGGAAGACTCAGATGAATCAAATGGATGTTAGGAAGTATTTTTTCCCAGTCATAGAGAAAGTCAGGAAAGTGAAATAGCCTAAAAAATTTGAGGGAGGGGGGCGGGAACCATACATATTTTTCAGGCGGGGGTTATGAAAAAGCTGGGGGCAGGGAGACAAGACCTAGAAAGCAGTCAGTAAAGGGGGGGGGGGCCCCCCCCCAAGGACTTTTACTCGACCCCCGGCAAATACAAATAGATATGCAACCAAAAACCACATGCACACAAACAAAAACACACCACACACACACACACAACACCCCCCTTTCCCCCCAAAAACCCCATCCTCCCCCCCCCCCCCATAACCACCCATCCCCTTTTCCCCCTAAAACCATCTAACCCCCCCCCCCCCCAACTTTCTCTACCCCCCCAATAACCACCTCCCCCTCCCCCAAAACCATCCATCCCCTTTTCCTAACCATCTATTCCCCCCCCCTTTTAACCAGGATGAGGACAAGGGGCCCCAAAGGACGAATCTGGGAGGAGGAATGGGAGGTAAACTTAAAAAAAAAGGGGGGAAACTGGGAAGGAACTAAATAGTTTGGAAAAAAAGAGGAAGAGGGTTACCGCAGAATGCAGGGGTGGAAGAAACAGGCTAAAGCAGCAAAAATCAAATAGAGAGTTTAGAAGGGGGCGAGACACGAAACAGCACAGAGACAAAGATACCCACAAAGTAGGTTCGGCAATGGCTCATCAAACCCACGACAACAGGTCTAAGGGGAAGCTTTGGAAACTAAACGGGGATCTTTTTTCCTTCAAACCACATGGGCCAAAAAAAGAAAAGGGAGCACATTTGGGACAGAAAAAGGGGTTTGGGAAGCCCATTAAAGGGAAAACTGGGAAACATTGAAAGGGCCCTTTACCAGTTTACCTGTGGGGGCCAGGAGCAGGGGGGGCAGGAAGGAAAAACCCAAAGGGAACCCTTGGGGGCCAAAAAAACTGGGGAAAGGGGACTAAAGGGAAAGGGAAACATTTCCAGGGGAAAGGGAAACTAAAACACATCAGAGGATGCAATGGAGTCACAGGGGGAGGGGGAAAAAGGGAAAAATCCGTGTTTGTCTAGGGGCTAGACGAAGAAAAAGGGGAAAAATTATGTTTGAAAGAAAGCAGGGGGAAAAAAAAAGCGATTGAAGATATCATGAAGGTGATGGTAAAGGGGAAATGCCCCGGGGTGGCAAATTTTCAAAATTGGGGGGTTTCACAAAAAAAGGGAAAATCGCCTCTCAAAGAAATTTTTTCGGCAGAATAAACCCAGCCATACCTGCAGGAAAAAAGAAAAGGCTAAAGGGGCCCAACCAATTTCCCGGGAGTGTGTACCTCGATCAGACAAAACACAGGAACGAAAGAAACAATGAAAAAGAGTTCAAAAACAAAAGGGAAAATGGGGGGAAATGAAAAAGGAGACAAATAATCCGGGATCAAAGGGAAGGACAATCCCACCCCCCAGAAACACCTGCAAAGGACTCCAGCCACGCCCACCCCCCAAGGAAAACGAAAAATAAAAACCCAAACCCATCACACACCGACCCCCTGTTTCCACCCCCCCACCCAGTTACAGTATTAGAACAGAAGTTAAAAAGGTTTTGGTACACAAATCAGATGGAAAAACGAATAAACATGGGGGAAGGCAAAAAGAATAAATGAAAGCCCCCAGACACATAGCATTAAAAGAAACAAAACTCATGGAGACAATAACAATGAAATCTTCCCCCAGATACCAGATCATGGGAAAATAGAAGAGGCAGGGGGGGAGGGGGGGTTGCCCCTGCTCTTTAAAAACCCAGAGGGAAAATTTCCCGAAAAAATGGAAGGAACAAAACGGAGAAAGAGCTACATAGCAGGTACACTTCAGTCTGGGGAACAAAAATTGGTCATTGAAATTGATGTAAAAACCACCACAGAACTGCAGGGGGGCCAAAAGGAAATATGAAGAGAGCAACAGAGCAATGGGGACACATTTTGCTGAGGGGGCAAGAAGAGCCACCCAGCAGAGAAAAAGTTGCGGGTTTAAAGGGGGATTTCAACCACGGGAGATTGACGGGGAAAACCTGGACCCCACGGGGCCCCCGAAACATGGAAAAGCCAGGTTTGTGGTTTGGGGTCTGGAAAACCCCCTGCACCAACATTTTAAGGGACACTCCAGATTTGGGGGGGGAGGAGAACCACAAGTTTGGGACCTTGTTTTTTCACCCGGGGCCATTTCAATATTGGGGGCATCAAGTATAGACCCCCCTAGGACTAGCGACCCAGGGTGGTTCTGGCTTTGAATACATATAAGCTGCAAGTGGGGGAAAAATAACCGGATTGAATGGAAAAGCCTGACATAAAAGGGGACACAAGGTTGAAAAACTTCCTGGGGGTCCAGTGGGAAAACAGGAACTGGCAGGAAACCAGTAAATGAAATGAGGAATATTAACAACAAAAGCAAGGAGGCAGGGGAAAAAGGTTTTTTTCCCCCGGGGCAAAGTAACAAGGGGAAAGACCAAACGACCCCCCGGGTTTTCCCCGACGTTGTAAGGAGGCAAAACAAAATGAAAGGGGGAGAAATGGAAAAATACAAAAGGGCAGAAACCACGAAAATAGGGAGACCCGTCGCAGAGCCGGGAAATGATACGACAAGAAAGAAGGGGGGCCCCAGCGCCGATGAAAATGACATAGCATCGAGAACCAAGACGGGAACCCGAAACTTTTTGTATGGGCCAACATCAGGGGGAAACAACGCCCCAAAGCCCAGGGGGTTCAGATAAGGACAAAAGGGTGGAAACCACAAAAAAATGATCGGGTTGTATGGGGGAAACCGGGAACGGGAAGTTTAAAGGGAAGTTTTTACAGTAGAGACGGGAAGGGGCTGGGGGAAGACACACAAAAGGGGAAACATCAAGAGGGAATAAACCAAAAAAAGTGTTGTTTACAACGAACAACTGAGGAGGAGGTAAAGAAGCTCTAAGGCCCTTTGCCCAACCTAAAAAGGCGAGGGGCCCGGGAACAACATCTCCCCAGGGCCCTTTTTTAGAAAAGGGAGAAAGGCCCTGTTTTTTGCCCTCAAAACCACAATCTTCAACACATCCCTTGAAACTGGGGAAAATACCTGGAAATGGGAAGGGCAGCAAAGTATCCCCAAATTTAAGAAAGGAAACAGAAACGAGGGACTAAACTACAGACCTGTTTTCCCCTGACAAAGTAATTTTTTGTGCAAAGTCATGGAGAAGATTATCAGGAGGAAGTGGGCAACACCGGAAAGGAACAAGATTTTTTAAAAAAGAAAACCAGCACGGTTTTTAAGGGAAGGGAAATCTTTTATCACAAACCTCCTGGGGGTTTATGACAAGTTTAACCCGAAGTAAGACACGAAGAGAGGGGGGGGTGATGCGATTTCCCAGACTGCAGGGAAAGGGCCCTTTTACACAGTTCCCCCCAAGAGATTAATGCCCGAAGCTAGAAACAGGCGCACGAAAAAAAGGGGGGGCACTGCAATGGATTTTAAAGGGGGTACCCTGGCAGGGAGGCAGGGAACGAGTCATGGTACGTGAAAAGGGATCACAGTGGGGGGCCCGTTTTGAGCGGGTCCCACAGGGGTCAGTTCTAGGGCCAGGGTATTTTGATATATGTTAACGACATGATGGGAAAAATAGACCTGAAGTGGCCCTGTTCGCAGAGACGGAAGTTGATTTAGAAAAAATTAAATCGGACGAGGATTAGGGAGGACTGCAAAGAGACCCGGACAGGGGGACAAAGTTTTCCAGCCAAATGGGTTTCTCGAATTTAATCCAGCAAATGCAAAGTCATGAAGATTTGGGGGGGGGCAAAAAAAGAAACCCCCGACAGAGTTTGGCTAGGGGGACAAAGACTACAGACCCACTCAGGGAAAAAAAGACCTTGGGGGTGACCCTAAAAACCGAGCCAAAATCAAACCGGGGCACACATCAACCAAAAAAAACCGCGCAAACATACGGGCCCTGGCAAACCGGGGAAAAGCGTTTTCCCATAACCCCTTTAAAAAGGAATCGTTCAAGAAAACTGTACACGGTATTTTAGGGGCCCCTACTGGAGTATTCAGCACCAGTTTTAACCCACACCTTTGGCAAGCACGTCAAAAAGTTAGAGAAAGTACAAAGGGTTTGGGAACAAGGCTAGGGCCCAGAGCTCAAGGGGAAAGTCCCTACGAGGAAAGTTAAGGGGAAAACGGTTAAAGACACTGGAGGAAGAAAAGGGCAGGGGGGACATGATAACGACATACAAATACTTTCGGGGGAAAAGACCGGGGGCAGAATAGGGTGTTCCAGAAGGGGACACGGGGCAAGGGGTCACAACGGGAAACTGAAACTCAGACGAGTCACAGGGGCGTTAGGAAAAAATTTCTTTAGTCATAAGTTGTTTAGCAAGTGGAAAACCTAGCAAGTGAAGTAGGGGGAGGGAAAAGGAAACCCTACATATTTTAAGAAGAGGTAACAAAGCTTTTAAAAACAAGGAGAAGAGGATGCAGTACGATCATGAAAAAGGGGGGGCCAGGAGCTAGTCTCGACCCCTGCAACCCAATTTGGTGAAATACAATTAGGTGAGTACACACACCCCACACAAACACACACCACACACACACCACACACACACACATTCACACCCAACACACACACGACCAGTGAAGAGGCGGGGGGCCCGGGGCTAGGGCTCGACCCCCCGCAAATTTAACCCAGGGGTAAAACAAAGGGGACCCAAAACACACCAAAACCTTTTTGATATCTTTCTCTAATTAAAATTTTTAAAACAAAAAATTTTATTTAAAAATAAATTTAAACTGGGAAAAAAAATTTTTAAAAAAAAAAAAAATTTTTAAGACAAGGGGGAAAAAGCAAACTCCCCCCCTTTCCTGTAAGCTTTTTTACCCTGAACTGTGGGACCTCTTTTAGCACAAAGGAAAAACTGGGCCCAAAAACTTTTAAATTTTCCAGGGATACCATCTAAAACGGTAGTCCAGCCCCTCAAAAGAGAGAGGTTTTTTAGTGCCAGGAACAAAAAAACTGGGGAAAAAAGGCAGAAATCGTACACTAAATCCGTCAATTTTTGGAGTGGAATCAATTTGGGCCCCCACCCAAAAAACCCAAAAGATTTAAAAATATTAAAAGCCAGGAAAAAAGTCCCCCCCCCCCCTATCAAAACCACCAACCGATGACATTTCTTTGCAAATATACAGAGTGTAAAGCCAGCAACCAAAAAAAAAATACCCTTTTATCCGTGGACTGCTTGCAAGGCAAATGCCAAAAGTTTTGCGGTTTCACGAACCCACATAAAGGACACTTTGGAAAAACGAAATGTTTTATCCCCGGGTTTCCCCCTTACAGAAATTTGACAGAGTGAACAGCAAAAAATGGGGGAGGATTTTGGCCTGGAAACGCAGTCACTTATTTGCTCAAGGGAAATGCTAAATGCCTCAAATGATGTAGTTAAAGTTTTAGCAGTAAAGACGAGAACCAAAATCTGGTCATTGTAGTAGTCTACAAGCCTCCGGATGCAATGTCCCAGGAACAGCTGTTGAAAATTGACCACTGTCTGGAAAATCTTCCAGCTCCTGCACCCAACTTCTTGCTCCTGGGGGATTTCAACTTAAGGTACCTAAAATGGAGAATATAGCAAATAATATTGTTGCAGTAACAACACCAGGAGGCAGCTCTGATGAAAACTCACACTCACACAAGCTTTTAAATCTCTGCGCAAAAATTCACTTTAAACCAGCAAATAATAGAGCCTACAAGATTGGAGAATACACTGGACCTGATCTTCACTAACAATGATGATCTGATACGAAATGTCACCACATCAAAAACAATATACTAAGATCAAAATATAATCGAGGTTCTGACATGTATGCGAGGAGCCCCAGACATACAAAATGTGATCAATCAAGAGGGAGCCTTCACCAAATTCAACTTCAATAAGAACATAAAGTGGGGCCAAGTAAACCAAGTCTTAAATTACATAAGCTGGGAAGAAAGCCTAAGCAACACTGACCCCCGACTTATGCCTAGAACAGATTAATTCCGTTGCACTTGATGTATGCTCAAGGCATATTTCTTTAAGAACAAGGAGGAGTAGATGTAAAATAGAAAGAGACAGGCTCTCCCATTACAGGCGAAAAAAAGAAGAACGGAGCAGCTAAAAGAGGCCAATATATCTGCAGTGCGTAGGGAGACACTGGTCAGAGAAATAGCAAACATCAAACTAAGGCTAAAGGAATCGTACAGGAGTCAGGAACTGCGGGAAGAACTAAAAGCCATAAATGAAATTGAAAGAAACCCAAAGTATTTCTTTTCTCATGCCAAATCAAAGTCGAGAACAACATCCAGTATTGGGCCCCTACTGTCCCAACTACTGGATCACTACGACAAGGTCCTAGATGCACTAGAAGACAATAAGAATGCAGATGCAATATACACAGATTTTGCAAAAGCCTTTGACAAGTGTGATCATGGCGTAATAGAGCACAAAATGCGTTCCAAAGGAGTAACAGGAAAAGTTGGTAGATGGATCTATAATTCCTGACAAATAGAACACAAAGAGTAGTAGTCAACAGAGTAAAGTCTGAGACAACTACGGTGAAAAGCTCTGTTCCACAAGGCACAGTACTCACGCCCATCTTGTTCCTCAACCTCATATCAGACATAGACAGGGATATAAGCCACAGTGCCCGGTCTTCCTTTGCGGATGACACCCGAATCTGCATGACAGTATCTTCTATTGCAGACACTGCAAGGCTCCAGGCAGACATCAACCAAATCTTTCAATGGGCTGCAGGAAAAAATATATATTCAACGATGAGAAATTTCAATTACTCAGATATGGTAAACGAGAGGAAATTAAAACTTCATCAGAGCATACAAATTCCGACCACACAATAGAGCGAAAAACCAACGTCAAACACCTGGGAGTGGTCATGTCGGAGGATCTCACCTTCAAGGACCATAACTTGTATCAATCGCATCTGCTAGAAAAATGACAGGATTGGATAATGAGAACCTTCAAAACTAGGGATGCAAGTCCATGATGACACTCTTCAGGTCACTTGTTCTATCTAGGCTGGAATATTGCTGCAAAACCAACAGCACCTTAAAGGGCAGGTGAAATTGCTGACCTAGAAAATGTACAGAGAACCTTCACGGCGCGCATAATGGAGATAAAACACCTCAATTACTCGGAGCACTTGTGGTTCCTAAACCTGTATTCCCTGGAACGCAGGCGGGAGAGATACATTATTATATACACCTGGAAAATCCTAGAGGGACTAGTAACGAACTTGCAAACGAAAATCACTCTTTACGAAAGTAAAAGACTCGGCAGACGATGCAACATCCCCCCCAATGAAAAGTACGGGTGTCACTAGCACGTTAAGAGACAAAACATTAAATGCCAGGAGCCCAAGACTTTTCAACTGCCTCCCAGCATACATAAGGGGGATTACCAACAGATCCCTGGCAGTCTTCAAGCTGGCACTGGACAAGCACCTAAAGTCGGTACCTGACTAGCCAGGCTGTGGTTCGTACATTGGATTGCGTGCAGCCAGCAGTAACAGCCTGGTTGATCAGACCCTGATTCACCATGAGGCCTGGTCACAGACCGGACCGCGGGGGCGTTGACCCCCGGAACTTTCTCCAGGTAAACTCCAGAAAAATCAATAAAGTGTATTAAAGTTAAACTAGAAAAAACCTTGAACTAAGTATACAACAAAATAAATATAAGAGTGTAACCAGACAAGAATTTAATGATCAGTTTATTTATGTGAGAAATATTTAGTATACAACAGATATTCCTAAGTCTGAGAAAGTTGTTTCTAGCAGATCCAAGAAATATTTAGTATACAACAGATATTCCTAAGTCTGAGAAAGTTGTTTCTAGAAAGATCCAAGAAATATTTACTATACAACTGATATTCCTAAGTCTGAGAAAGTTGTTTCTAGCAGATCCAAGAAATATTTACTATACAACTGATATTCCTAAGTCTGAGAAAGTTGTTTCTAGCAGATCCAAGAAATATTTACTATACAACTGATATTCCTAAGTCTGAGAAAGTTGTTTCTAGCAGATCCAAGAAATATTTACTATACAACTGATATTCCTAAGTCTGAGAAAGTTGTTTCTAGCAGATCCACAGTTGATATAAATATAATTAAATAAGTTTTCCTCAAAAATAGTTCAAATTTTAACACTGATATTAGTTCAGAGTTATATCAGTTAGATGTATTAATAATAACTACAACTTGCAAGGAACTTAGCTTCTGCTTGACATTTTACTCGTGAAAATTTGACTTGACACTTGTCCTGTCCACATCTTGTCTACACTCCTACGCTCAGTGGGACAGGTCTTGTGTCAGGTTGTCAAGGTAAGGGAGAACCAACACTCAGTGGGACAGGTCTTGTGTCAGGTTGTCAAGGTAAGGGAGAACCAACACTCAGTGGGACAGGTCGTGTGTCAGGTTGTCAAGGTAAGGGAGAACCAACACCAGTGGGACAGGTCGTGTGTTCGGGTTTTGTCAAGGTAAGGAGAAACCAACACTCAGTGGGACAGGTCGTGTGTCAGGTTGTCAAGGTAAGGGAGAACCAACACTCAGTGGGACAGGTCGTGTGTCAGGTTGTCAAGGTAAGGGAGAACCAACACTCAGTGGGACAGGTCTTGTGTCAGGTTGTCAAGGTAAGGGAAACCAACACTCAGTGGGACAGGTCGTGTGTCAGGTTGTCAAGGTAAGGGAGAACCAACACTCAGTGGGACAGGTCGTGTGTCAGGTTGTCAAGGTAAGGGAGAACCAACACTCAGTGGGACAGGTCGTGTGTCAGGTTGTCAAGGTAAGGGAGAACCAACACTCACTGGGACAGGTCGTGTGTCAGGTTGTCAAGGTAAGGGAGAACCAACACTCAGTGGAAAGGTCGTGTGTCAGGTTGTCAAGGTAAGGGAGAACCAACACTCAGTGGGACAGGTCTTGTGTCAGGTTGTCAAGGTAAGGGAGAACCAACACTCAGTGGGACAGGTCGTGTGTCAGGTTGTCAAGGTAAGGGAGAACCAACACTCAGTGGGACAGGTCGTGTGTCAGGTTGTCAAGGTAAGGGAGAACCAACACTCAGTGGGACAGGTCGTGTGTCAGGTTGTCAAGGTAAGAGAGAACCAACACTCAGTGGGACAGGTCGTGTGTCAGGTTGTCAAGGTAAGGGAGAACCAACACTCACTGGGACAGGTCGTGTGCCAGGTTGTCAAGGTAAGGGAGAACCAACACTCATTGGGACAGGTCGTGTGTCAGGTTGTCAAGGAAAGGGAGAACCAACACTCAGTGGGACAGGTCGTGTGTCAGGATGTCAAGGTAAGGGAGAACCAACACTCAGTGGGACAGGTCGTGTGTCAGGTTGTCAAGGTAAGGGAGAACCAACGCTCAGTGGGACAGGTCGTGTGTCAGGTTGTCAAGGTAAGGGAGAACCAACACTCATTGGGACAGGTCGTGTGTCAGGTTGTCAAGGTAAGGGAGAACCAACACTCAGTGGGACAGGTCGTGTGTCAGGTTGTCAAGGTAAGGGAGAACCAACACTCAGTAGGACAGGTCGTGTGTCAGGTTGTCAAGGTAAGGGCGAATCAACACTCAGTGGGACAGGTCGTGTGTCAGGTTGTCAAGGTAAGGGAGAACCAACACTCATTGGGACAGGTCGTGTGTCAGGTTGTCAAGGTAAGGGAGAACCAACACTCAGTGGGATAGGTCGTGTGTCAGGTTTTCAAGGTAAGGGAGAACAACACTCAGTGGGACAGGTCTTGTGTTAGGTTGTCAAGGTAAGGGAGAACCAACACTCAGTGGGACAGGACGTGTGTCAGGTTGTCATGGTAAGGGAGAACCAACACTCAGTGTGACAGGTCGTGTGTCAGGTTGTCAAGGTAAGGGAGAACCAACGCTCAGTAGGACAGGTCGTGTGTCAGGTTTTCAAGGTAAGGGAGAACCAACACTCAGTGGGACAGGTCGTGTGTCAGGTTGTAAAGGTAAGTGAGAACCAACACTCAGTGGGACAGGTCGTGTGTCAGGTTGTCAAGGTAAGGGAGAACCAACACTCATTGGGACAGGCTGTGTGTCAGGTTGTCAAGGTAAGTGAGAACCAACACTCAGTGGGACGGGTCGTGTGTCAGGTTGTCAAGGTAAGGGAGAACCAACACTCATTGGGACAGGACGTGTGTCAGGTTTTCAAGGTAAGGGAGAACCAACATTCCGTGGGACAGCTCGTGAGTCAGGTTGTCAAGGTAAGGGAGAACCAACACTCAGTGAGACAGGTCGTGTGTCAGGTTGTCAAGGTAAGGGATAACCAACTCTCCGTGGGACAGGACATGAGGCAGGTTGTCAAGGTAAGGGAGAACCAACTCTCAGTGGGACAGGTCGTGTGTCAGGTTGTCAAGGTAAGAGAGAATCAACACTCAGTGGGACAGGTCGTGTGTCAGGTTGTCAATGTAAGGGAGAACCAACACTCATTGGGACAGGTCGTGTGTCAGGTTGTCAAGGTAAGGGAGAACCAACACTCAGTGGGACAGGTCTTGTGTCAGGTTCTCAAGGTAATGGAGAACCAACACTCATTGGGACAGGACGTGTTTCAGGTTGTCAAGGTAAGGGAGAACCAACACTCAGTGGGACAGGTCGTGTGTCAGGTTGTCAAGGTAAGGGAGAACCAACACTCAGTGGGACAGGTCGTGTGTCAGGTTGTCATGGTAAGGAAGAACCAACACTCATTGTGACAGGTCGTGTGTCAGGTTGTCAAGGCATAGGGAGAACCAACACTGAGTGGGACAGGTCGGGTGTCAGGTTGTCAAGGTAAGGGAGAACCAACACTCAGTGGGACAGGTCGTGTGTCAGGTTGTCAAGGTAATGGAGAACCAACATTCCGTGGGACAGCTCGTGTGTCAGGTTGTCAAGGTAAGGGAGAACCAACTGTCCGTGGGACAGGACGTGTGTCAGGTTGTCAAGGTAAGGGAGAACCAACATTCCGTGGGACAGGTCATGTGTCAGGTTGTCAATCTAAGAGAGAACCAACACTCAGTGGGACAGGATGTGTGTCAGGTTGTCAAGGTAAGGGAGAACCAACACTCATTGAAACAGGTCGTGTGTCAGGTTGTCAAGGTAAGGAAGAACCAACACTTAGTGGGACAGGTCGTGTGTCAGGTTGTCAAGGTAAGGAAGAACCAGCACTCAGTGCGACAGGTCGTGTGTCAGGTTGTCAAGGTAAGGGAGAACCAACACTCAGTGGGACAGGTCGTGTGTCAGGATGTCAAGGTAAGGAAGAACCAACACTCAGTGGGACAGGTCGTGTGTCAGGTTGTCAAGGTAAGGAAGAACCAGCACTCAGTGCGACAGGTCGTGTGTCAGGTTGTCAAGGTAAGGGAGAACCACACTCAGTGTGGCAGGTCGTGTATCAGACCATTGGGACAGGTCGTGTGTCAGGTCATTGGGACAGGTCGTGTGTCAGGTTTTCAAGGTAAGGGAGAACTAACATATTTTTTAGTTTAATAAGGTTTGTTGATTTTTTTTTTTTTTTAAATTGTAAAAAGTATTTCTAGCAATTTTAAAGATTTTTCCAATTAAGTGTTTTGGGTATTTTAGATCATTAGCTGTTTCATAAATCTTCAATAATACTTCATGTATGAATTCTTGGCTGTAGATGTTCCAGGTTCTCAAAAAACATTGATGAGAATACAAAAATATTAGAATTCTGTGTAATAATTAGTCTGAGTAGAAATAAGGTTTGTAGAGGTGAGTTGATCTCCTTTGTTGTGAAGAACTTACATACACCAGTGACAGTTAGGTTCAAAACAATGGAGGGAAACACCAGGGAAAACTAGCCTCCACTCCAGTCTCTTTTGTCAGCCTTAGGCAGTTTTTTTTGACTGTTCATGTACACCTATCTGCTGGTAACAAGTGATTTCATACCTTGTGTTAAGTCTGTGTGTTATTGCCACTGGGTGGGACAGCCTCCAGCCTGTGTGTTATAGCCACTGGGCAGGACAGCCTCTAGTCTGTGTGTTATAGCCACTGTGTTTGACAGCCTCCAGTCTGTGTGTTATAGCCACTGGGCTGGACAGCCTCCAGTCTGTGTGTTATAGCCATTGGTTGGGACAGCCTCCAGTCTGTGTGTTATAGCCACTGGGTGGAACAGTCTCCAGTCTGTGTGTTATAGCCACTGGGTGGGACAGCCTCCAGTCTGTGTGTTATAGCCACTGGGTGGGACAGCCTCCAGTCTGTGTGTTATAGCCACTGGGTGGGACAGCCTCCAGTCTGTGTGTTATAGCCACTGGGTGGGACAGTCTCCAGTCTGTGTTATAGCCACTGGGCTAGACAACCTCCAGTCTGTGTGTTATAGCCACTGGGCTGGACAGCCTCCAGTCTGTGTGTTATAGCCACTGGGTGGGACACCCTCCAGTCTGTGTGTTATAGCCACTGGGCTGGACAGCCTCCAGTCTGTGTGTTATAGCCACTGGGCTGGACAGCCTCCAGTCTTTGTGTTATAGCCACTGGGCTGGACAGCCTCCAGTCTGTGTGTTATAGCCACTGGTGGGACAAACCTCCAGTCTGTGTGTTATAGCCACTGGGCTGGACAGCCTCCAGTCTGTGTGTTATAGCCACTGGCTGGACAGCCTCCAGTCTGTGTGTTATAGCCACTGGGTGGGACAGCCTCCAGTCTGTGTGTTATAGCCACTGGGCTGGACAGCCTCCAGTCTGTGTGTTATAGCCACTGGGCTGGACAGCCTCCAGTCTGTGTGTTATAGCCACTGGGCTGGACAGCCTCCAGTCGTGTGTTATAGCCACTGGGCCCGGACAGCCTCCAGTCTGTGTGTTATAGCCACTGGGCTGGACAGCCTCCAGTCTGTGTGTTATAGCCACTGGGTGGACAGCCTCCAGTCTGTGTGTTATAGCCACTGGGCTGGACAGCCTCCAGTCTGTGTGTTATAGCCACTGGGTGGGACAGCCTCCAGTCTGTGTGTTATAGCCACTGGGCTGGACAGCCTCCAGTCTGTGTGTTATAGCCACTGGGCTGGACAGCCTCCAGTCTGTGTGTTATAGCCACTGGGCTGGACAGCCTCCAGTCTGTGTGTATATAGCCACTGGGCTGGACAGCCTCCAGTCTGTGTGTTATAGCCACTGGGCTGGACAGCCTCCAGTCTGTGTGTTATAGCCACTGGGCTGGACAGCCTCCAGTCTGTGTGTTATAGCCACTGGGCTGGACAGCCTCCTGTCTGTGTGTTATAGCCACTGGGCTGGACAGCCTCCTGTCTGTGTGTTATAGCCACTGGGTTGGACAGCCTCCAGTCTGTGTGTTATAGCCACTGGGCTGGACAGCCTCCAGTCTGTGTGTTATAGCCACTGGGCTGGACAGCCTCCAGTCTGTGTGTTATAGCCACTGGGCTGGACAGCCTCCAGTCTGTGTGTTATAGCCACGTGGCTGGACAGCCTCCTGTCTGTGTGGTTATAGCCACTGGGCTGGACAGCCTCCTGTCTGTGTGTTATAGCCCCCTGGGCTGGACAGCCTCCAGTCTGTGTGTTATAGCCACTGGGCTGGACAGCCTCCAGTCTGTGTGTTATAGCCACTGGGCTGGACAGCCTCCAGTCTGTGTGTTATAGCCACTGGGCTGGACAGCCTCAGTCTGTGGGGTTATAGCCACTGGGCTGGACAGCCTCCTGTCTGTGTGTTATAGCCACTGGGCTGGACAGCCTCCTGTCTGTGTGTTATAGCCACTGGGCTGGACAGCCTCCTGTCTGTGTGTTATAGCCACTGGGCTGGACAACCTCCAGTCTGTGTGTTATAACCACTGGGCTGGACAGCCTCCAGTCTGTGTGTTATAGCCACTGGGTGGGACAGCCTCCAGGCTGTGTGTTATAGTCACTGGGCTGGACAGCCTCCGGCTGGCATCATGCTACCCTAGGCTGGGTTATTATAGTTTAAATGATACTGTATATTGTACTATTAGGGTAAATTGTAAGAATATTGATAATTTAAGGTGTAAATGTTGTTAATTATGACCCAAGTGACTATGTCTAACTCTTTTTAAATTTATTTTCCTTATAATATTTTACTGATATTTACTGTTAGTTTTCAGAGATGTAGAGTAAGACTTTCTCTGGTAAACATTTTTCTTAACCTCTGATCTACACTAATAATACTATTTATCTTGTATGGTATTAATCTGTTATTAAACATCTACTATCTATGTTTAGTTATGTTTATTTTCTGTAGTTTGTCTGTAACAAGTAACTTAACCAAGTTTGTTCCTTATGATTGTGTTATATTGTTTGTTTACTGTATTTCAGCTAATGTCTTTTTTGTGTGTAATCTTTTGTGTCTTATAAATGAATTATTTTTAATATGCCATTTTTATTGTTGTGATGAATGTGAAGTTTTGTCTTGTTGATTATGTTTCTCTCTTATTTCTTTGTAAGATTTTTTTGGTAGAAATTCTTGTTTGTGTTTTCTGACTAAACCAGAAAAATATTCTTATAGGTTTTAGCAGCAACCAGGCCTACCCTCCTCCCAAGACATGCCTACAAAACTTGAAAGGTATTGATTGCTGGAGAGATACTGAGGAAAGTAGATACTTTTCTATAGCCCATGAAAACCTTTGCCCTGGAGGATCAGTCTTGGTTGGTATTCTGGGATTAAGAAAGATCTCAGTAGCAGCCTGAAGAAGGAAAGTATCAAGGTATTTATAACAAGGAAGGTAACCCCAGACAGCATGGTAAACAATGGAGTTCCTTGGCAACTATGTGCCGAGGTATTGCTAATATCAGTAAGCTGGTGCTGCTGTAATGTTAGGTATTTGCTGCTAGTAATTTTTTTCTTGGGTGCTAACAAATTCAGATTCCTTGTAATGTGTTTATTAAATTGTAAATGTTTTTATCTGAGTATGTTTTACTTTCCCCTTTGAGCCATGTATATTAGGTCCATTTGTTTTCAGAGGTTAAATTGAGCAACATAGTAGTGACATAATTTTTTTGGGAGAGTCAAGCCCCTGATAAGGTGCCTACTGCTAAAGTTTCAGGTCAAGCTACCCTAAGAGCCAGTACTTATTAGGACCACTGTCTTGTTATAACTATCCTGTATTATTTGACACTGCAGTTTCTCCTGCTCTAACCCAAACTCCATGTTTTCCTCCCGTCTCCTATGACTATGGCTGCTTTTATCTCTCCCATTATTAAAAGAGCAGGTGGTGGCAGCATACTTCCAAGAGAATAGAGCACTGCCTTCTATTCTCTCATATTCTAGTAATTTTCCCTTGTTATTTGTTCTCTATATTCTCATACCTTTGTCCACTCCGAGTCTCTACTTGAGGGAACAGACAATATGGCATCGTCTGGTGCTTTGTCCACCCTAAGGTGGGACTGGGGTCAAAGCTGCGGCACTTCAAACAGATATAACCCCACTTCATGAAGTTGGCACCAAAGGAATAGCTAAGAACTATAGACCAATAGTTCTAACGTCCCACATCATAAAAGTACTTGAAAGAGTTCAAAGAAGCAGGACTGCAAATCACATGGATTCCCAAGAATTGCACAATCCTGGGCAACATGGGATCAGAGCAGGTCGCTCCTGCTTCTCGCAACTACTGGATTACTATGATATGGTCTTGGATGCACTGGAAAACAAACAGAATACAGATGTAATATACACAGATTTTGCAAAAACCTGTGACATGTGCAATAATAGTGTAATAGAGAAATTGGAAAAGTTGGCAGAACACAAAAAGTAATGGTAAACAGAATTAAATTTCAAGCTGCCGTAGCGAAGAGCTCTGTTCCACAAGGCACAGTACTCGCCCCTATCCTGTTCCTCATCTTCACATCATACATAGACAGAAATGTAACCCAGAGCATCGTATCACCCTTTGCAGACGATACTAGGATCTGCCGTATCCTCATACATTGAGGACACTTTAAATCTCCAAGAAGATATTTACAAAGCTCTCGAATAGGCAATGGAGAACAATATGATGTTTAATGGAGACAAATTCCAACTACTCCGTTATGGAAAACTGAAGGAAATAATAACTAGAACTGAGTATACTACAAACTCTAATCACAGTACCACTGAGAGTGGTAATGTCTGAGGATCTCACCTTCAAGGACCACAACAATACTATTATCACACCTGCGAGGAAATTCATAGGATGGATAATAAGAACATTCAAGACAAGAGATGCTAAACCAGTGATCATCCATTTTCAATCACTTGTTCTCTCTAGACTGGAATACTACTGTACATTTGTAGATGAATGGTGTCTAATTTATCAACTGCTGTACATTAACATCCCCATTCATGGCAGGTGAAATCGAAGATCTAGAGAAGGTACAAATAACCTTTACTGCACATATCAGTTCCATCAAATACCTTAACTACCGGGAATGCTTGGAAGCACTTGACTTGTACTCACTGGAGCGCAGGCGAGGGAGACACATCATAATTTACACCTGGAAAATCTAGAGAGACTGGTCCCTAATCTGTATACAGAAATCACTCCCTACGATAGCAAAAGACTTGAGAGGCGATGCAACATAAGCTAAATGAAAATTAGGAGCATCATTTGTACACTAAGAGAAAAACACAGTAAGTGTCCCGGGCCCAAGACTGTTCAACAGCCTCTCACCACGCATAAGGGGAATTACCATTTGACCCCTGGTTGTCTTCAAGATATAGCTGGACAGATACCTAAAGTCATTGCTGGATCAGCCAGCCTGTAACAGCCTAGATGATCAAGCCCTGAACCACCAGGAGTCCTGGTCGTGGCCGCGGGGGCGTTACTCCCCGAAATATTCTCCAGATAGGTAGGTACTTACTAGTTGGCAACTGTATAGGGTGACTTCTTTATAACTGCAATAAGGTTTAAACTTATTGGACTCTGTGTTGAAGGTATTTCATGCAACCAACAGTTAACTTTCTAATTTTGATGCAACAGTTAGATCTACCTACGGGTTTATGGCTATACCTCAGTTCTATTAGTTCTTGCCAGAGTTTTCTGGGGTTATTCTTGTATTCATCGATTTTTGAGCACTAGTACTTTGTCTTTGGTATTTTTATAAGTCTCTGCACTCTGGTACTTACACTATGAAACTCATTTAGCGCAGCAACATTCTCTCTCTTTGTTCTATATCTTTCTAGCAACTGATCCCTTAACTTGATATTATCTAATATCTCATCAGTTATTCAGAGTTCAGTTCTTCTTTTAATCCTATGTTCTTTAACTGGTACAATATTATCAATGATGTCAGTGAATATAGTTCTTTAACTGGTACAATATTATCAATGATGTCAGTGAACAGTTCTTAAACTGGTACAATATTATCATGATGTCAGTGAACAGTTCTTAAACTGGTACAATATTATCAATGATGTCAGTGAACAGTTCTTAAACTGGTACAATATTATCAATGATGTCAGTGAATATAGTTCTTTAACTGGTACAATATTATCAATGATGTCAGTGAACAGTTCTTAAACTGGTACAATATTATCAATGATGTCAGTGAACAGTTCTTAAACTGGTACAATATTATCAA